AGAGAGAGAGAGAGAGAGAGAGAGAGAGAGAGAGAGAGACGAGGAGACAGACAGACTGGCATACAGAGACACAGAGACCCCGCCATGGCGTGGGTGTGGAAGTCAGGACAACTTGTAAGAGTCTGTTCTCTCCAACACATGTGTCCTGGGGATCCAACTCAGGCCTCCAGGCTCCATGGTGACCACAGATTCTGAATTCCTTTCTCATGTGTCCACAGGGTACCCCAGACGGGCTGGCTGCTAAAGCTCATGAAGACTTGGTGACAAGCACTCTCCAGGAGGCCCTGAACACCACAAGAAAATGGCTGCGCCGCATGCTCAAAAGCAGCATGTTCTATACCGGCTTAGCCTCTGTCCGCTTCACCTATCCTGAGGAGATGGCGGTAAGCCTTCCTGGGAGTTGTGAGGCTGCCAAAGGCACACAGGTGTGGACGTCAGATACCAGGAGCCATCACTGCTGTCCCAAGAGCTGTGATCATGGCCTGAAGCCTAGCCACTGGGTCCCTTCTGTAAAGAAGGGTCTTTGACAACCCATGGACAGATGGAAAGTGCTGTGGACCTGGCTGGGCCAGGTCCCCCTTGCTGTGAGATGATGGAGACAGCAGCATCAGGAATGCACTTAAAGCAGGGAAGGGGGGGTGGGGGATGATTTGTGAGGAGTAACGCTTGGAGCTGTGAGGGGTGTGTGTGTGTGTGTGTGTGTGTGTGTGTGTGTGTGTGTGTGTGTGACATTGGAAATGGAAGGCAGAGGTAAGCAAGGAAGTTCTTTTGTGGGGAAACAGCCCAATGTGCCTGCAGAAAGACTGGGAAGCTAAGGCCCTGCAGATGGGTTTGGGTTTGGTCACAGGGGTTGGCAGTTCTTGGGCTCATTGTCTGGAAGTGTCCCCAGCTAACATGACAGTCACACAAGTGTGAGAGGCACATCCTAAGACAGCCAAAGAAAACTAATGGAAAAGGTGCAGACCCCCGCCTAGGGCTTGGGTTTAGTGAGTAGGCCACCAGTGTTCATTTTTCAGTCCTGACACTTGTGCCTCGTTGTATAAGATGTGACAAGGACAGGAGTCAGGAAGAGCCCTGTAGTTCTCCAGCCATCTCTGCAGCATTTCTTTTTTCTTTTCTTTTTTTTTTTTAAACACAAACTTTTTTTTAAGATTTATTTATTTATTATGTATAGAGCATGTATGACAGCAGTCCAGCAGAGGGCACCAGATCTCATTACAGATGGTTGTGAGCCACCATGTGGTTGCTGGGAATTGAACTCAGGACCTCAGGAAGAACAGCCAGTGCTCTTAACCTCTGAGCCGTCTGTCCAGACCTCTCTGCAGCATTTCTGTAAGGCTGAAATTACTCTGTGTTTTGAAAAGAATACATTGCAGGCTTTCTAATGATCTAATTCTGCATCAGTGCCTAAGTGGAGTGGGCTAATCTATACTTGAAATAAATTTTTATGGAAGATGAAGTTAAGAAGATTTTGGGTTTTTTTTTTTTTTGGAGGAGGGTTGTTTTCTTTCTTTTTCTTTTTCTTTTCTTTCTTTTTCTCTTTGAGACAGAGTCTCTCTGATTTAATCCTAACTGTCCTGGAATTCTCTCTGTAGACCAGGCTGGCCTCATGCTCACAGGAATCCCCCTGCCTCTGCTTCGAGTGCTGGGATTAAACGCATGTGCCACCATGCCCAGGGGTTTTGCTTCTTTTATGGGAGAATGGTGGGTAAATCACAACAGAAACAGCTCCGTAGCTCAGGAGTAAAGAGCCATTCAGTGGGAATCAGCAGGAATGCTGAAGGAAGTAGCCAGGTCATCCGGCCAGGATCTTGCTGCAGATGGCATGTTAATCCCAGGAGGAAAGAGCACTAACGGGGGAATTGGACCCAAGTTCTGCATGGTTGACCCAACCATCAGCCTTGAAAAGAAAATGGTCACTTTGACCGGGCTGAGAGGCGGAAGCACTCTGAGGTGTTTGGTTGGGAGCTGTGGAAAGGCGTGGATAGCTGACCACGAGGGACCTACAAGTACCGTCTCATGAGGCTCAATGTAGTTATGTTTCTTCCAAAGAGATTTTAACCATGGGATCCCAGGAAGGGAAATCAAGAGATAGCCTCAAAAATCATCGGCCTGTTAATGAATCAAAAGATAACTTCTAAAATGATCGGCCTTTCAAAATTGTCAACATTATAAATGAAGGGAAGGTACTTTTCTAGAAAAGAGAACATGATCACTAAATGAAATGCGTAAATCCTGACTGGATGGTGGAGCCAAACAGCACACAGGTGGATCAGCACAGCACAGGGACAGCTCATACATCTCTGCTCTCCACACTCATGCCCTTGAGAGGACCGCACCTCAGGGAAACAGAGGCTTGCCTGGACGTGTCGGGCCAGGTGGTGTGATGTCTATACCTTACCCCCAAGTGTCAGAGGGAGAGAGGCTGACAATCTCTGTGTTCAGAAGTAAACACCTGGGGCCCAGTGGAAGGAAGGGTTTTGTTCTTCGCGCTCTTTTCTCTTTGAAACTTTTCAGGATAAATATTAGAGGGGACCCTTTCCCAAGGAAGAGCAGTCACACAACTGGGGGATAGTGGTGACCCTGCATTGCATGGGCCAGAGTGGGTCGTGTTGCCCTGACTCACCACTAACACTGTCATTTACCAGAGACAGTGAAGAGCTGAGAGCCCCATTGTCCTGGTGCCCTCAGCCCTTCATACTGCCAAAGGGTCTTCCTATGGTGTCCAGGCCTGCCTTGAACTCCTGGAGACTTCAACAGCCCTCCTGCCTCAGTTTCCCAAGTACCTAGGACCACAGATCTGTAACACCTCCCCTGCTGGTCCACCTTCTTTTCCACCCTGGGTCATGAAGTCTTCCCTGTGGTTGTCACTTTGATCTTACAGCTGTGGTGCCGGCTGGTGGCCATCGACTTCCCAGAGGAGTGTGGCTGGAGGAGGTCGCTGCTGGGAGACATGGAAGGGAGGCTCAAGCAGGTACCTGAGGTCGGGGCCCTCGTTCTGGGAGGTGAGAGGACACAGAGGAGACCAGCTGTCTTAGCCAAGCGCAAGGGTGCAATGGTGGTGAGGCGGGGTCAAGCATGAGTTTGGATATCTGTTTCTGATTTGGCCGCTGACTTCGGAAGAATGTCGAAGTTGTTGTGTGATGCCCTTAGAAGAATAGGGACATGATGGGGACCCCAACTGTATATGGGGAAACACACACGCAGACGCTGCACCAGCCAGTTTACAAAAACAGCAACAAAGTGTGTGGGGGTGCAAAACCACACCCAGAAAAGCTCTTTATGTGACTGGAGGCTGGTGACATGGATCATCTGCCTTTGCGTGACATGAATGTTTTCTCCAGAGCTGGTAGGGAACCAGGAGTGGAGGAAATGGCTCATCTTTCACAATTGCCCTGTCCTGATTTCCCAAGCTCCAGTGCATGTGGCCCTTTTGTTCTTTTTCAGAGTGGGACAAAAAAGGCTTTACTTTTTGAATGTTTGAATATTTGAGACAGGGTCAGTTTCAACTCACCCAGGCCAGTTTCAAGTTCCCAGCATTCCTCCTGCCTTGGCGTCTCATGTGCTGGGACCAGAGACACGAGCTGCCATGCCCAGCTACAGAAACGATTTTCATTTGTTCCTTGCATAGTGGGGTTCTTGTGGACCTGCCTAGTGTGTGTGCAGAGAAGCTTGAATCATGGGGCAGTGAGACACCTGATGTTTCCCTGGTGCATAGTAGTGAGGTACCCCACAGCCCTCACACCCCCCTGCTTGAGGCACCTACAGCCCTCACACCCCCCTGCCTGTCTACAGGAGCAGCCCCGGTTGCAGATCTCTGTCTTCTGCAGCAGTCAGTGGCATTATGGTGAACTCCATGACAGCGTGGCCAGGAGCTTTGAGAAGTGTCTCATTGAAGCCGTGAGCTCTGTCTACCAGGTCAGTAGCCTTTCCAGTGTGGGTTCACAGGGGTTTCTGGGATGGCTTGCCAAAGGCTGCTGAAGCCTGCACGTTCTGAGACCCTACAGGGTCGGATCGTCCCCTCTTGTGCCCAGAGCTATGGGCTGAGATCCAGTGTTCTCATCCAACTCCTTGACAGGCAGCATGGCTTCCGATTCCTTGGGCTGTTAAGGCCACGCAAAACCACAGCTACTAGGCCAGGTGTGGTGGCTCATGCCTTTAATGCCAGCACTTGGGAGACAGATGCAGGTGGTCTCTGAGTTCACGACCAACCTGGTTTATGTAGTGAGTGTTAGGCCAGCCAGGGCTACATGGCGAGAACCTCACAGCTGCTCACACAGGCCTTGCCCCAGCCGTCTCACAGGCTGAGCCTCAGGCCCCCATGAGCCCTGCTGCCGGTCTGCACTATTTTCTGTTCCTTCCTGCCTGTGCAGTGACAGAGAAAAGAACCGCATTGTGTGAGGCGCACTCACTGACCTGCTTCCCTAGTTATTGTAGTTTTAGCTCTGCTGAGGCCCTTGAGTCTTCCACCTGAGTTCCTTCTGAGGTAAAGGTCCGTTTCTGTGCGTGGAGACCAGATGGTGCTGCCCTACTGATTTGCCTGAGCACCTTGTCCAAACTCTGCTGGTCACGTGTGTGATGAGAGGGCTCAACGCGGTGTTAGGATTTCTACTTTTCCTTTTATTAACTTTTATTATATTAGAGCATTGCTGTGTGTGTGTGTGTGTGTGTGTGTGTGTGTGTGTGTGTGTGTGTCTGTCTGTCTGTGTGTCTGTGAGTATGTGCTCTGTCTGTGTGTGTTTGGGTGTGCACACATGCATGGAGATCACAGGCCATCTTTCAAGGCGTTAGTTCTCTCCTTCCACCACATGGGTCCCAAGGATTGGACTCATGTTGTTGGCTTTGGCAGCAGACACCTTTATCCTCTGTGCCATTTCTGGCCTGAAACAGGACTTTTCATATGCTATGCAAGCATTTAGCCATTGGTTCATACCCCAGTGAACATTTTTTCTTTTGAGGCTCTGTGAACTACTTTGAATAGATTTGAAATATTATTGAAAGCATAACTTCAAAAAAGAAAAACTACATTATAAAAAAGTTGCAATTAGCCGGGCGGTGGTGGCGCACGCCTTTAATCCCAGCACTCGGGAGGCAGAGTCAGGTGGATCTCTGTGAGTTCGAGGCCAGCCTGGTCTACAGAGTGAGTCCCAGGAAAGGCGCAAAGCTACACAGAGAAAGCCTGTCTCGAAAAACAAAAAACAAAAAAAGTTGCAATTAAACAACCCATAAAACCACACTCTGAAGTTAACCAACCCCAACAGCAAACTTGTCTGTGGTTAGAACGGAAGGGATGGAAGGTGTGGGCTTCCTGTTGGATTGTGAAATTGCACTCTCAGATTTTCTTATGTGTCTGTCCACCACCACAAACAAAAACATCCACGACAGTCACAATGACAAAGACCATCAGCTTTGCATCTTCTTCCATAACTCATACTCATTACCTACATTCAGTCCTTCAAGGACAGTTTTTGAAAAAATCATATAAGATAAGGGCTCAGCCCAGGCTGGCCTTGTATTTTCTGTGTAGCCAAGGCTGGCCTACAACTCCCCTTTCCCAGTGCTAGGATTAGTGTTATATACCACCACACCCAGTTTTCACATTTCTCTTACTTTAAAACAAACTAATAAGACATCACTACATTTCCCCTTTTTACTCATTTTCTTTATAGTCTCAGACCAGTATCCTCCAGGGACTCTCTTGTCAAGATTTGCAGAAATTGGGTACTCTCTTGTCTGCTGTGATAACCAAGTCCTGGCCTGTGCACAACGGGAAGGCTGTGCTTGACGTGGATGAGATCTTCAAATACCTACTTACGTGGCCAGATGTGAGGCACCTCTTCAAACTGTGTGGTATGTGCAGGTGGCTGTGGGGAGCTTGGTGAGGGTGGTATGCTCTTGGCCTTTGGGAGCGAACCAGGACAGAAAACCAGACCTGACATTCAGCTGGCCTGTACTGATGAAGGAAGTAGCTTGGATGGAGGGACCTAGACAGGCATGGGCATCTTGAAGAAGACCAAAGTCAGAGTTGACTGAGTGCTGCTGGGTACTAGCCCCTCTGCGGCCATGCTGTCCTTGATGCTGCCTCCTGACAGTCTAAGGCCTCACGCTCCGGTTGAGGGGATGTAAAGTGCAGAGCATAGATGACTGACTGGCTTTGGTCCACAGATAGCATCAAGAACTAAAGTTGGGCTGAGGAGATGGGCCGGCAGCTGGGGAGGAGGCCCAGCAGGGTAGGAGACAGAGACAGAGCATCCCTGGGCTTCCAGCTGAGTCAAGCTTCAGGTTCAGAGAGAGACCCTGGTTTCTATGCATGGACTGCCTACACATGCATTCGAGAGCACACACGCCCGCGCACGCGCGCACGCGCACACACACACAGACTTCAGAGCTGTTACTTTGAGAACAGTACTGATTAATTAACAGAACAGGAAGTCCCTCCCACCTGGTCCTTTCAGCATACACAGCCCCAAGTGTTATGTCTTCCCTGAAATCTCTCATGTGTCTTGTGTGAGTTGCTGTGTTCAGATCTTGTAGCAGGAATGTGCCAGGTTTGGAACTAAAAGCCCAGGTGAGGCTGGAATTCTCATTTTCACCAGACCATTGGTCAGCCCAACAGGGAGTCCCTAACAGCTTGTGAGGAGTGAGGCCCAAAGTGTGGCTGCTGATGTGGGTGCCACATGCCTCTGCTCTTAGCTAGCTTGGGAGTATCACGTGTCTGTATTTCATTAATACATTGTCTAGAAAAATTCATCAGAAAACATAGCTCCCACATAGCTCCCCAGCACCCATGCTCTGGAGTGTGTGGGTGTGTGAGCTGGTCAGTGCTGGCATACTGTTAAGTCTGGGTTCGTAAGTGTTCTCTAGGTTTTAATAGCTGTATGATGGCATGCTTGGGCATCACAGTCAACACAATGAACTCAGTGCCCCGAGGATCTGTAGCCCTCTCCTTATGCGCTGCCCTGTGGTTTGTTTTCTGGATGATCCCATATTGGAATCTCTAACGAGTGTGGCCTTAGACTGCCTGTTTCATAGCGATTTGCATTAAAGCTCCTCCCTGTCTTCCCATTGCTCAACAGCTGAGTTCTGTTTGCATCATGGAATAATTTCCACGTGCGGACCCACCAGGGTTTCTCTAGCATCTCAGTTCGTTCGTGTGTTGTTTTTCTGAGACTGAGCCTCACCATGTAGCCTTGCCTGGTCTAGAGTTTGCTGTGTAGACCTTGGTGGCCTCGAACTAACAGATCTGCTTGCCTCTGCCTCCAGAGTACTGGGATTAAAGGTGTGTGCCACTGTGCCCAGTTGTTTTATGATGTACCATGATGGATAAGGCTACTTTGTTTTCAATGATACAGATAAACATGCTCTTAACACAAATCTAATGATACCAGTAGAGAGATTTTCTGAGGGTTAAAAGTAAATGTATTGAAAATCTTGCGATCTAAATTGATTGTCAGTTTCACACAGTACACTACCGCAGGGCATGGTGGGCAGGACATGCGAACCTGAAGCCATGCACTAGTCAAGTGTGTCACATGAAAACATTGCCGACTGCTGCTGTACCATGAAGAGTCATCAGGGATGCGTGGTGGGAACTGATGGGGTCAGCAGACCCAGGCTCTGACCTGTGTGCTCTCTCTGATCAGGAACCAATGAGAAAATCTTAGAACACATCACAGGGGAAGGCAGGCAGCTGCTGGGCACGGCTGAGTCTGTGTTCCAAAAGGCTGCAGAGGAACTCGAGAACGGCACCATTGCGGTTGGGCAGCTGGAGTTGATCCTTGAGCACAGGACTCAGTTTGTTGAAATCTGGAACTTAAGTAAGTATGAAGTTGAGAAACCACCTTCAGGCTGCTGAGCTTGGATATGGCATTTTGAGGGCAGGATGTGTTTCTGGGCTTTGTATCCGCCAGCAGTTGTTGTCAGCAAGTTGAGAAGCTGTGGTTTATTCTTCTGAGGAATATCCTGAGAAGGCAGTAGAGTGAGGGCAGTAAGAGCTTGCTCTGTTCCATGCTGCCGAGCACATGGCTCCACCGTCCTCAGAGACTGGCTGAGCTGGCGTCTTCCTGGTCCCTCCTTATTGCCCTGACCATGGAGCATGTGCAGAGCGAGGCAGCAGAAAGCAGCTACATGGAAGGCAAGCGGGATTGTGTGAGCTGTCAAGTTACTTTTCAGACAGAATACGGCTGCCACTCCAAGAGAAGGCCTGTGATTTGAAGGACTTGCTGGAGATGAGAGAGGATGATCTGCGGTTCCTCAAGCGAGAAAAGAGATACGTGGAGAGTCTCCTGAGGCAGTTTGGGAGAGTGAAACACCTCGTGCAAGGTGGGTGGGCACCCAGGAGTGGTACTGAAGAACTGAGGGGTCTTGGGGAGGGGCCGAGGAAGGTGAGGGCGGGTGGGCATAGGGGCAGAGCTTGGGTGGGCACATAAGTATATGTCTGTGCGTGTGCTTGTGGAGGCCCAGGGTTGATATGGGATGCATTCTTGAGACCTCTTTCACCTTATTCATGTTGTTTTTGTTATTGTTGAGACTGGGTGTCTCTATGTAACAGCCATGGCTGTCCTCTGTGGACCAGGCTGGCCTGGAACTGAAAGATATCCTCCTGCCTCTGCCTCTCCAACACTGGGATCAAAGGTGTACACCGCCACTACCTTTTTTCACGTTATTCAGTGAGACAGGTTCTCTCAATCAAACCCAGAGCTTGCTGATGTGTCTAGCCTTGCTAGTCAGTTTGCTCTGGGGATTCCTCCATCCCTGCCTCCCCAGGCTAGAAATACATTCCGGCTGCCATAGTCACCTGACATTTATATGGGTTCCAGGGATCAAAAAATTTTTAATCCAAGTTCACTTGTGTTTGCCTGAGGGAATCAGCATCACCTCTGTCTCCAAGTCCATGCCTGCAGGCATCTCTCTGACTTTTATGTGCTACAACTATCTGTTGACTCCCAAGATGGGGTCCCTCATCCTCATCATCACTAGATGGGTGAGGGAGCCCTGGGCTTGCTCTTCACCCTGCTGGTCCATATGTGCCTCCTCCTGAGTGTGTTCCCATCGATGTCGCCGTCCTCTTGCTCTGACTCGGTATTTGGCACTCACAGCTTAGCTACCTTCCTGAGACGGAGGCGGAGGCGCTCACCGTCTGAGTGGATGCACGTCTGCCCAGTTCTCGTGCATTGCTCGTCTGGGAACAGAGGGAAGGTTGTGAGTCACGCACGGCCTGGGAACCACGTGTCACTCCTGGCCATCTCTCTGGTGCTGCTGGGAAGCCTGGGGTCGTCCTGGTTACTGCTTCTTTGCGTGTGACATGCTTGCCCTCACTGGATGCTCTGTAGATCAGGCTACCCCCAGACTCACAGAGATCCATCTCCCTCTGGCCAGTTTCTGACCTTAAAGATACAATTTCTATTTTATAATTAGTGTGAGCTTTAGAAGGGAATGAGACATAGGTGTATGTTTCCCAACTGACCTCGTACCTGGAGTTTACAATGTTTTCCTTCTTGTGAAAACTGACAAACAAAACCAGGGTTGGGGGGGGGGGAGATGTGTGTTTTATGGAGAAAAGAACCCAAATGTTAGTGTTGAGTTTTCTTAGAGAAACGACTGGAGAAGGACGAGGCCCAGTGGTCACAATACTTGTCTAATGCTGCAGGGCAGTAGGTTCTGTCCCCAGGGCCGAGGAAAGAACTCTAGTCCTGCCTCTGCGGGTACAGATCCACAATCCCAGCCGTTAGGAGGTTGAGGCAGGAGGATGATTAGTTGAAGGCTAGCCCGGCTACATGTTCAGATCTTCTTACCCTCACTAAGAAAGAGAAGTGATGCCAGGCAGTGGTGGCACATGTCTTTAACCCAGTAAGAGAGGCAGAGGTGGCTGGTCTATAAAACGAGTTCTAGGACAGCCAGGAGTACACAGAGAAACTCCATCTCAAAAGTATTAAGGGAAAGGGGGTATGTAATACAAGAAAAGAGGTTTAACACCTAACCTTTTCTTCTGGTTTCCACAGTGGAGTTTGGAAATATTGAAGCAATACACTCTCAAGACCTCAGCAATAAGAAACTCAATGAAGTTGTGATAAAGCTACCTGGCTCCTCATTCCCCAAAAGGAAGACACATTACTTCTTGTGCCCTGAGATCCGAGAAATTGCAAGCCAGCTAGACTCCCTAAAAGACAGCCACATCTTCCAAGTTTTCTGGCAAGAGATGGCAGAGTTGCTGAGTACTCTGAATCAGGACCACAGAGAGTTGGAGCTTTTGCTCCCAGACGCCTGTGAATGCCTGTACTGCCCCTGCTATGCGAAATTCCACAGGCTCTATGAGAACGTGAAGTCCGGAGAGATCACCTTTGCTGAAGTTGATGACATCTTCAGAGACTTTGTAGATAAATATGATGAGCTGACTGTTGACCTAAAGTCCATGTGCACCGTGGACCCCCAGGACCAAAAAGGTTGGATCTCAGAGCGTGTTGGGCAGATCAAAGAATACCATAGCCTGCACCAGGCCGTCAGCTCTGCCA